TTCAGTGATAGCACATTTTCACTGATATTTTACTATCAGATCATTTTCAAGTTGGATGTTTTGTGAACTGAAATGAGGATCGTGCTCTTTGTTGTAAAATGAATGACTTTGCCTTTTATCTTTTCGTAGTGTCTGCATCTTCATTTATCCAAATCCTGTATAGACACTCTTTTTCCAAAATACCATATGGGCAGACTGTGTTGTTCCAAGCTGGATGCCGAAGATGAATAGCACAAATAACTTTTGATACAAACAACAAACAATAGTCAAACAATTTCTATAGATAAACACAGAAGTATTTCACTCTGATGTGAGAATAACAGCCCACACATATCTACAAGTGTTTATGAGCTCAGTCATTCTCTGCCAATGCTGCTGCGAAGTTTGGTGCTCTATCGTCTATGCCCTTCCCAAAGATCAATCTTCTCCGTAATCTAGATATCATTAACTTCAATCCCAGGTCCTACTAATAGTAAAGCTTGGAACCTCTTACTAAATCATCGCTAGTCATCAATTTAAACATACTACCAGGATGACAAGCAGAACTGCCTTAGAGGCCACTGTTCAGTATGTATCCACCCCTTAGAAGCATGCTCAGGAATTCAGTGCTTCCAGTAGACACAGCTTTAGGACACATAGTCCCCAAGCTACAGAGGCTTTGTAGAACCTTATAATCTTCCTACTTTGTATAACTCTAGAGGGAGTCACATCGAATATATCAGGCTCCAATTTTGTCATCAGTAAACTTCTCTCAGAATTCCAACCGTAACCTTGCCATCTGTGTTGGGTTGATTAGGCCATTTTGTCTCAATCAAAATAATCCGCGTTTTTCCATAAGTTGTTACAATAATCACTCTGAACAAGATCATATCCTGCTTGGACTTCCCACTTACTGAGATATTGTTACTAAATACAATTAGTTAGTTCTGTAAAATGGATATAGGAAGGCAGACAGCTCTCTAGAGAAGAAACTTGAGTTTACTATAAGAACATATTTGAAACAGAACCATCAAACCAAAATGACAATGTGTACCCACTAGATATACCGAGGAAACTCATGTAATGGGATGCTTAGAAGTAAAGCCAAGAATGAAATGGTACTGTTTATAGTCAATGAGACCCCTAGAATAACTTCAGTTCAATCTCAAGAGACATTTTATCTAGTTGGATATTATTGTTATTGTGCCAGTGGTTGAAAAGAACCATAATTCACTGTATCCAGGTCTCATTGCAGGAAGTTCCTTGTATTGACAACATACATACACATACAACTACATATATATTAGTGTACATATAATATAATGCACAGATTGTGTATTTTGTTTCTACTATCCTATCTAAACCTTTAGAAATTGTTAAAGAAAAATTTTTCTGACACTTGTTAAAGAGGGTAAGATAGACTTTGTTCAAGGGACCACTGCAGTGGGGTTTTACAGTAGGGGAGAAAAAGCAAGCTCAACTCCAAATGCAAAGAACAAGTGGGGATTTATAGCCAAAGAGCAGGATGGTGATTAGTAGATATAATACCTGAACAGACCAATAACAACTAGAGAGAATGAATCAGTAATAAAAATCATTCCAACAAACAAAAGCACAAGACCAGGTGGATTCACTGCCAAATACTACCAAACGTATAAAGAACTAATACCAATCTTTCTCAAAATATTCTTAAAAGAATTGAGGAGGAGGGAATTCTCCCTGATGCATTCTTTGAGGCCAGCGTTACCCTGATGCTAAAAATAGATAAGAATGCAATCCAAATAGAAAACGACAGGCTAATATCCCTGATGGATATAGACGCAGGAATCCTTAACAAAATACTAGCAAACTGAATTAAATAACACATCAAAAAGATAATACATGATGATCAAAGGGGATTTATACCAGGAATGTAAGGATGGTTTGACATACACGCATCAGTAAAAGCTATACATCACACCAACAGAATGAAGGACAAAAACCACATGATAATCTCAATAAAGGCAGAAAAAGCATTTAATAAAATTCAACATTCCATCATGATAAAAACTCTCGACAAACTAGGCATAGAAAAAAATACCTCAAAATAATAAAGACTATATATGATAAGCCCACAGCTAACATATTAAATGAGGGAAAGTTGAAAGCTTTTTCTCTAAAAACTGGAAAAAGACAAGGCTGCCCACTGTAACTATTGTTATTCAGAGAGTACTGAAAGTCCTAGCAAAATAAAGCAGGCAAGATAAAGAAAGAAAACATACTTAAATTGTAAGATTGTCCCTTTTTGCAAATGACATAATCTTATATTAAAAACATTTATAAACTCCATCAAATAGCTCTTGGAGCTGATAAACAAATTCAATAAAGTATCAGGATACAAAATCAACATGAAAAAATTAGTAGCATTTCTATACACTAATACTGAAGTTGCTGAAAAATAAATCAAGACCAGGTACAGTGGCTCAAGCCTGTAGTCCCAGGGCTTTAGGAGGCTAAGGCAGAGGATTGCTTGAGCCCAGGGGTTTGAGACTAGCCAGTGCAAAATAGTGAGAACTTATTTCTGCCAATGAGTGAATGAATGAATAAAGAAATTTCATTTACAATTAGTATGATAAAAAAATATACCTGGGAATCAATTTAACCAAGGCAGTGAAAGACCCTACAAGGAAAATTACGAAACGCTGATGACAGAAATTAAAGAGGACACAAACAAATGGAATGACATCCCATGTTCATGAATTGGAAGAATTCATATCATTAAAATGATCATATTGTCTATGACAATCTATAGATTCAATTCAATTTCTATAAAAATACCAATATCATTTTTCACAAAAATAGAAAAAACAATCCTAAAATTCATAAGAAACCAATAAAGAGCACATATAGCCAAAGCAATCCTAAGCATAAAGAACAAAGCTAGAAATAACACAGTATCTGACCTCAAATTGTATTATAAGGCTATAGTAATTAATACAGCATAAGCTGGAAACAGCACAATATCTGACTTCAAATTATATTACAAGGCTATAATAATCAAAACAACTTGGTAGTGGTATAAAAATAGACACATAGACCAATGGAACGTAATAGAGAACCCAGAAATAAGTCTACATATTTACAGGCAACTGATTTTCACAGAGGCACCAAGAATTACTTTGAAAGAACAACTTCTTCAATAAATTGTGCTGGATAAACTGGCTATCCATATGCAGAAGAATAAAGCTGAACAATATTTCTCACCACATACAAAAATCAACTCAAGATGGATTAAAGACCTAAATGTTAGACCTTAAACTATAAAACTACTAGAAGAAAACACAGGGAAAACACTTCAAGACATTGGTCTAGGCAAAGATTTTATGGATAAGACTTCAAAAGCACTGATAACTAAAACATAATAGACAACCAGGGTACATTAAACTAAAAACTTCTATACAATACATGAAACAATCAACAGAGTAAAGAAACAAACCATTGAATGGAAGAAAATATTTGCAAACTATTCATCTGACAAAGGACTAATAGCCAAATATAGAAGAAATCCAAACAACTCAACACTAAAAAAACAAACAATCCCATTAAAAATATGCAGAGGACATGAATAGATATCTCTCAAAAGAGGTACAAATGGTCAACAGGTATATGAAAAAAATTCATCATTACTAATCATCAAATGCATATCAAAAGTGCAATAAAATATCATCTTACTCCAGTTAGAATGGTTATTATTAAAAAGACCAAAAAAAAAATCACAGATGCTGGAGAAGATGTGGAGAAATGGGAACTCGCACTGTTGGTGTGGATGTAAATTAGTACAACGAATTTACTATGGAAAGCAGTATGGAGATTTCTCAAAAAAAAAAAAAATAGAACTATCATAAAATCCAGCAGTCTCACTACAGGATATCTATCCAAAGGAGAAGAAATCAGTATATCAAAGGGATACCTTCACTCACATGTTTATCACAGCACTATTCACAATAGCCACGATATGGAATCAACCTAAGTGTCCATCAACAAACAAATGGACAAAGAAAGTATGGTATATATACATAATGGACTACCATTTGTCCACAGAAAAGAACGAAAACAGGTCATTTGCAGCAACATGGATGGAACTGGAGGCCATTATGTTCAGTGAAACAGACCAGACAACAGAAAGACAAAGTGATATGTGGTACTAAAAACTACTCATATGTGGTAGCTAAAAAACTTGATCTCTTGGAGACAGAAAACAAAATTATGAGCAATGGAGGCTGGAAAAGGATGTGAGGGTGGAAAGGGGAAATGAAGAGAGGTTGGTATACTTCAAAATAGCTAGAAGAAAAGATTTGAAATGTTACCAACGTATATAAATGATAAATACTAAAGGTGATGGATATCCCAATATCCTTCTTCTTCTTCCTCTTCTTTGACCTCTCCTTCTCTTTCTTCTCCTCCTCCTCCTCTCCTCCTCTCCCTTTCCTTCTCCTTGTTCTTTCTTCTTCTTTCTTGAGACAAAGTCTCATTCTGTTGCCCAAGCTGGAGTGCAGTGGCTCGATTTCGGAAGGATCAACAGAAGGATCAACAACTCAACAGAAGGATCAACCCAGGTGGCTCACTGTAACCTCTGCCACCTGGTTGATCCTTCCACGCCAGCATCTTGAGCAGCTGGGACCACAGGTGCACGCCACCACGCCCGCCTAATTTCTTACAGAAAAGAAAAAAAAAGGGTTTCTGCTACCTTGCCCAGGCTGGTCTTGAACTCCCAGGCTCAAGTGAGTGCCACCCCCTCCCCAAAGTGGTAGAATTATTGGCTGGCGTGAGCCACGGTGCCCTGCGTAGACTCTCGTTTTTCTTTCTGCTCATCTAAGAAGCCCCTGCTGGGTCCCTAAGTGTTCTCGCCTCGCCCCTCCCCACACGCACTGCTCCCTAACTTCTCTCACAGGCCCCCACTGCCTCCTCCTGCACTGGCTTAGGTCTTACCCGCCAGCAGGTGGCGGACCACGATTTTCTGTCCTCTATGGCTGAACCCTGGCGTCCCCTCTTCTCTAGGCCTTTTGTCTAATTCCAGCCCGGATACGCTTCCTTAGCAACGGGTTGCCTTGGCAACAGGAGGACGCGGGCTGGCGGGCTTGGTTCCTGGCGAGTTTGTAGCACTCGCCTGCGGTCTGAGGCACCGGCTGAGCCATGTCGGAGATCCTGTGCCAGTGGCTCAACAAGGAGCTGAAGGTGTCCCGGACCGTGAGTGAGTGACCACGGCCAAGGGCGAGCGACTGAGGGGCTAGCGGGGCGCGGATCCCGCAGCGCAGCGCACTCAGGGAAGGTGGCCGGCGGGGCGCGAGCTGCGCAGGGCGGGGCGCCCGTGGAGCGGGCAGCACTCCACAGTGAGCAACTCTGCTCGTCAGTGCCCCAGGTCCGTCCCGCCAACTCCCTACAGCTCACCCCAGCCAGGGCAAGGCCTTGTCACATCTCCACTCAGCCGCTCTCGAGTTACCCCGGTGGGCCCAACCCGCAGGCATTCCGACTGGTGATGTGGTTCTAGGCAATCAGTGGGTTTAGAGAGGCCTCCTTTGCTCCATGGAGAGGGAACTTTGCCGAACTCTGTAGTCTGACCCTGAAGTGCCTCCTTCACACTACCAGAAGCAGAAGCATGGTGTGCTGCCTAGTCGATGAAATATGAAGCCCCTGGACAAGTTACAATACCTTCTCTGAATGTGTTTCTTCCTCTATAAAATGGACCTAATAATACTTTTCATACTTAACTGACCAGCCCGGGAGGGTGGGTGTAAAATAAGTTAATGTGGAATATGTTAACGTTTATAAATGTTAGTAAATTTTAAGCCCCAAATCAAACTTTAGCTATTTCAGGTCACTGTTGGCTCTTGCCTAAAGCTGACCTTATTTACCAACCTAATTTTATCCTAACCATGCAGTTGCCACCCAAAGTTTCCAAGTCTGACAACCACAGAGACAATTTTACATGCTGGCAGTTTCCTTGACTGCCCAGTAATTCCAGCACAGGACTACACCCCATCTGCACCTCTTTCCGTTATTTCTTCAGTAAGAGATCATTTTTCAGTTGTTATGGTTTTTTTTTTTTTTTTTTTTTTTTTTTTTTAAGGCAAGAGGTTTTCAGGGTAAGTCATTTTTCAGTCAGTTTTCCCAGAAGAACTCTTGCGTAACACCAGCTTGCTACCAGAGAGGCAGTGGTGCCAGCTCATCCTTAGGTTATCCACAGAAATTGCTAGATCGGTAGTGTTTCTGTGGCTGCAAAGCAGTTATTAATATTATCAGCATGAGGATCTTTAACACGGAGCCTCTCCTGTTGCATTTCTTGAGGCATAAACCTCAGACTCTTTGTCAAATCACTACCTACACACTCCCTATGAACTGCAAGAAATTTTTTCCTAGGATTCTATGATTATCTCGTTGTGTCTCCAACTGTTTATTTGCTAAAATATGATGGGCTGAGAACAATATTTAGCATTTATAATTTCTTACTCCTGTATCACCATAGGAGCCAAAATGCAGTATCATGCCCTTAAGTTGTTCTCTTCTAAAGGAAAAGCAGTTACATATTAGTTTAATTGAGTTCATTTATTTTATTAGTAAAAACCACACCTGGGTCGGGCATGGGGACTTGCACCTGTAATCCCAGCCCTTTGGGAGGCTAAGGCAGGCATACCACGAGGATAGTAGTTTAAGACCAGCCTGGCCAACATAGTGAAACACCATCTCTACTAAAAATACAAAAATCAGCCATGCATGGTGGTGCGTGCCTGTAGTCCCAGCTGCTTGGGAGACTGAGGCAGGAGAATCACTTGAACCCAGGAGGCAGAGGTTGCGGTGAGCTGAGATAGTGCCACTGCACTCCAGCCTGGGTGACACAGCGAGACTTTCTCTCGAAACAAACAAACAAACAAAACCCCAAACTCTTTGCTGAAGTCTCAAGGACGGTATTGCAACATTTTAAAATACTTTTAGGATAAATAAATGAAATTAATAAAGATACATAAAAACAGTAGATGCCATTATAATTGTAATCAGTTTTGGGAATTTTGGTTTTGATTCTGTAAACATTAAAAGGCTGAAGACCGATTAAGAATTGTAACAACATTTAGGCTATGAATGGAAAATTCCTGGCAACTGCCTTCCTGAAGTGTAGCTCTGGAAGCCAGCAGAGACACCCAGTTCTAATGCAGTATCCTGCTTTCCATTCACTAGCAATACCTATTTATTTATTTATTACTTAAAAAATTTTTGTAAATATATATTTTATTGCACTTTAGGTTCTGGGGTACATGTGCAGAACATGCAGGGTTGTTGCATAGGTACATACATGGCAATGTGGTTTGCTGCCTCCATTACCCCGTCACCTTTATCTGGCATTTCTCCCCATTTCATCCCTCCCAAACCTCCCTACCCTCCACTGTCCCTACCATAATCCCTCCCCACAGACCCCAGTGTGTGGTGCTCCCCTCCGTGTGTCCATGTGTTTTCATTGTTCAACATACGCCTATGAGTGAGAACATGTGGTGTTTGATTTTCTGTTCTTGTGTCAGTTTGCTGAGAATGATGATTTCCAGATTCATCCATGTCCCTACAAAGGGCACAAACTCATCATTTTTTTATGGCCGCATAGTATTCCATGGTGTATATATGCCACATTTTCCTTGTCCAGTGTATCATTGATGGGCATTTGAGTTGGTTCCAGGTCTTTTCTATTGTAAACAGTGCCGCCATGAACATATGTGTGTATGTGTCTTTATAATAGAATGATTTATAATCCTTTGGATATATACCCAATAATGGGATTGCTGGGTCAAATGGAATTTCTACTTCTAGATCCTTAGGAATCACCACACTGTCTTCCACAATGGTTGAACTAATTTACACTCCCACTAACAGTGTAAAAGTGTTCCTTTTTCTCCACATCCTTTCCAGCATCTGTTATCTCCAGATATTTTAATGATCGCAATTCTAACTGGCGTGAGATGGTATCTCAATGTGGTTTTGATTTGCATTTCTCTAATGACCAGTGATGATGAGCATTTTTTCATATGTTTGTTGGCCTCATATGTGTCTTTTTTGAAAAGTGTCTGTTCATATCCATCACTCACTTTTGAATGGGATTTTTTTTTCTCGTAAATCTGTTTTAGTTCTTTGTAGATTTTGGATATTAGCCCTTTGTCAGATAGGTAGATTGCAAAAATTTTTTTCCCATTCTTTTGGGTGCCAGTTCACTCCAATGATTGTTTCTTTTGCTGTACAGAAGCTCTGGAGTATAATTAGATTCCATTTGTCTATTTTGGCTTTTGTTGCCAGTGCTTCTGGTGTTTCAGTCATGAAGTCCTTGCCTATGCCTATGTCCTAAGTGGTTTTACCTAGGTTTTCTTCTAGGGTTTTTATGGTGTTTGCTAGGTCTTATGTTTAAGTCTTTAATCTATCTAAAGTTAATTTTAGTGTAAGGTGTCAGGAAGGGGTCCAGTTTCTGCTTTCTGCCATGGCTAGCCAGTTTTCCCAACACCATTTATTAAACAGGGAATCCTTTCCCCACTGCTTGTTTTTCTCAGGTTTGTCAAAGATCTAATGGTTGTAGATGTGTGGCATTGCCTCCAAGGCCTCTGTTCTCTTCTGTTGTTCTATATCTCTGTTTTGGTACCAGTACCATGCTGTTTTGATTACTGTAGCCTTGTAGTGTAGTTTGAAGTCAGGCAGCATAATGCCTGCAGCTTTCTTCCTTTTGCTTAGAATTGTCTTGGCTATGCAGGCTCTCTTTTGGTTCCATATGAAGTTTAAGGTGTTTTTTTCCAGTTCTGTGAAGAGGGTCATAGGTAGCTTGATGGGGATAGCATTGAATATGTAAATTACTTTGGGCAGTATGGCCATTTTCACAATATTTATTCTTCCTAATCATGAGCATGGAATGTTTTTCCATCTATTTGTGTCCTCTCTTATTTCCTTGAGCAGTGGTTTATAGACCGCTAGCCAGATTAATAAAAAAGAAAAGAGAGAAGAATCAAATAGTTGCAATAGAAAACGATAAAGGGGATATCACCACCGATTCCACAGAAATTCAAACCATCATCAGAGATTATTACAAACAACTCTATGCACATAAACCAGTGAAACGGATAAATTCCTGGACACTTGCACCCTCCCAAGCCTAAACCAGGAAGAAATCGAAACCCTGAATAGACGAATAATAAGGGCTGATGTTGACGCAGCAATTAATAGCCTACCAACCAAAAAACGCCCAGGTCCAGATGGGTTCACAGCCGAATTCTACCAGACATACAAAGAGGAGCTGGTACCACTCCTTCTGAAACTATTCCAAACAATGCAAAAAGGGGGAATCCTTCCCAAATCGTTTTATGAAACCAACATCATCATGATACCAAAACTCAGCAGAGACTCAACAAAAAAAGAAAACTTCAGGCCAATATCCATGATGAACATAGATGCAAAAAGCTTCAATAAAATACTGGCAAACCGATTGCAACAGCACATCAAAAAGCTTATCTATCACTATCAAGTAGGCTTCATCCCAGGGAAGCAAGGCTGGTTCAACATACACAAGTCTATAAATGTAATCCACCACATAAACAGAACCAAAGACAATAACCACATGATTATCTTAATAGATGCAGAGAAGGGCTTCGACAAAATTCAACAGCCCTTTATGCTAAAACCTCTCAATAAACTAGATATTGATGTAATGTATCTCAAAATATTAAAGGCTATTTGCAACAAACCCACAGCCAATATCATAGTGAATGGGCAAAAACTGGAAGCATTCCCTTTGAAATCTGGCACTAGGCAAGGATGTCCTCTCTCACCACTCCTATTCAGTATAGTATTGGAAGTTTTAGCTGGAGCAATCAGGCAAGAAAAAGAAATAAAGGGTATTCGATTAGGAAAGGAGGAAGTCAAAGTGTCTCTATTTGCAGATGAGGTGATTGTATATTTAGAAGACCCCATTATCTCGGCCCAAAATCTCCTTAAACTGATAAGCAACTTCAGCAGTCTCAGGTTCAGCAGTCTCAGGATACAAAATCAATGTGCAGAAATCACAAGCATCCCTATACACCAATAACAGACTTAAAGAGAGCCAAATCAAGAACGAACTGCCATTCACAGTTGCTACAAAGAGAAAAACATACCTAGGAATGCAACTAACAAAGGATGTAAAGGACCTCTTCAAGGAGAACTACGTGTTTATTTTTTAATCTCTACTACTATACG